TGACCGGGCATCACCAAGCCATTAGAACTGAAAGTGAAGTCAAGTCTGTCTGAGGAGAAAGCTGCAGCTCTGGGTGCCACGTGCCTCGGTTTCCATCTCCCTGCATTGGCTGGATCAGAATCCCTGCTTAGATGGGGCCTGGACTCCATCTCGTCCTGCTAACTAGGACCCACTGTCATAGGTCACGGTGCCTGCTAGGTAAGAAGGCTTTAGACCTTAGACTGTCTGGCCATCGTCCTCCCCTGGGCTGAATCCTGTGATGCTAAACTCCCTAGATTTGGCCCCTCAGGGAGGACAGGGCTATCTTGCCGCCTGTCTGTCCCCGCCATGGCCCTAGCTGCCCGCTGCCCAGTGGTGGGAAAGTCTGTATCTGTTGCTATTTTCTCTCTGCTATCAGGGCCTTATCTGGCAGCTGGGTCCTGCTGGAGGCCAGGGTCTCCTTCCTGGCAGTGCCAAGCCATTCCAGTAAAGTAAGGAGGCTAGGGTTCTCCCAGCCAAGGTAGGGGGCTTCCTGTTCCTTCTGATGGCCCTCCCCAGCCCTGAAAGGAACAGCATAGTCACCATAGGCCAGGCCATGCTCCCAGCCATGATCCCATATGGCTGTGTGGACTCCATCCTCCTTAAGAGATTGCCCTCATTTTCCATGAGGGAATGGTCCTACGTTGCTGGTGTATGCTGCTCCTCTACCTCACTACACCAGGGCAGCGAGCCTCATCTCTTGCCAGTCCTTGCCACCTCCTCCAGGAATCCACCCCACAACAACTCTCCCTCCTGCCATGTACATTGGCACCTTTGGTCACTGCCTTGTCTCCAGCTCCTGGTCCTGAATCTGGCACACCAAGGGCATGGGAAAGGTTTGGTGAGTGAATCAGTGCGTGTGTAAGTAGACGAAGCAATGGGATGAGGGATGAGACTGCATGTTCTCGGGGGCGGGTACCTGAGATCAGTCTCTGAGCTCTCTTGTCCAAGGATGGGCAGGCAGCTGGTCCAGATCATCTTGGGTCCGTTTATAGGAAGGGAGGAAAGAATCTCCAGGTGGTCTTAAATAAAGGACCCCGTGCCAGGCCGGCTCCAGTGGGCCTTGGTCCGCTGGTTCCTGTTGGATTTGGAAAGGTGGGTGCTGCCCTAGTTCTTACAGTGGTTTCTATCCCCATGTGGTGGTCTGCAGGGGTCTCACCCGTGACCAGCATCCTACCTGGACCAAAGACAACCCTCCTTGCTGCCTAGGAGACACAGACTGTGGAATATTGTCCCTCTTCAGAACCTGCAGTGACCACCACCCTTCCGTGCAGCTCTTCAGAGCTGGGAGAGGGCCTGAAAGGGAGTGGGCATCAGCCTGCCACACAGAGCCTGCCTCCATAATTCAGTTTTAAAGCATGAAAAAGGGAGTTGATGAAATTCCGCTATCAGCTCTGAGCCAATATGCAAAATATCTCACCCCCAATCAAATAGCTATTATGTTTTCATTCCCAAGCGGGGTCCGGCTTAATGAGCAGGAGACGGATGGGCGCTTGGGCATCTGCTCCTTGTGATAACCAAGGGGCTCGGGGCACTGTGGGGGCTGCTCCCAGCGCTGTCCTGACTGTGGGTGACCACCATGGTGGCCTGTGGATGCCACTGGGCAGTAGCCAGGCAACAGGGCAATATCAGCCTAACTATGGGTAACGGGAGGTGTGGTTCGAGACAGTGCTCAGGAGGCAGCCTGTCTGCTCAGGTCCTAGTGTTGTCCAAGTTCCTTTCCTCTATGCACCATCCCCTTGCCTTTTCCTTGAGGACCATGGGCAAGCTGCTCTGCCTTAGTTGGGTGGACCACAGTTTACCCATCCATAAAATGGGTGCAAAAGGGAGGTGTTTGGCACCTTATGGAAATGAAATTTAGATAGGACTGGCCTTAGGTTCCCCATTCTACACCCTCACTGTTCTTTGCCCTCATTCCCATGCCACCCAGTCTGGCTTATATTACATATTCTGTATGACCTCTACATAACAAGATCTAGCTCAGCATGAACCCTCTTTGCCTTAGTTTCCCCGTCTGAGGCAGGACTGGGAGATGACCTCACTGGGCTATGTATGTGAGAGAGGTTAAGAAAGGACATTTGTGAAGTGCTGAGCCAAGGCCCCTTGTGCACGGTTGTACTTAATAACCCCTTTCCCCTGCTGGGCCCTTGGTGGCAGTCACCAGTGACAGCTGGTGTTTGTAAAGCACTGGTCCCCAGCACCCTCAGCTGCACTCTGATGGTGCCAGCGAGCTGTCCTGGGAGGCTGCAGCTGTGAGAGTTTCCGTTCAGAGCTGAGGAGACAGAGAGGTAGCGTGGCTTGCCCAAGGTCACAGTTTTATCTGCCGCTCTGCCTGGTTGGGGACAGTGAGGGTCCCCAGAAGGACCCTAGCATAGGACATCCTGGAGAGGAACAGTGTCCAGGCATGGTTCACAGATACCCCTGACATATAGGGTCAACGTCCCCTGCTTTTCTATTCTCCGTAGCCCTGCGGGTCTAGGTGTACCCGAGGGCCCAGTGCCAACTTAGGCTCCGCTGAAGTCAACGGAGGGCTCAGAAAGCCGGAGCAGCTCTGGGCAGAAGTGCCGCATCCCATCTGTGGGCTTTCTCTGTTTGTCGTGGTGATTCTCTCCTGCATTATCATAGCCATTTTAATTGTTCTGGAAATGGATTAACAACGTCAGAATAAGCTGCTTGTCAGCCTGGCTTCTTTCTCCACGCTCATCCACGAGGCTTTGTGAGGAGCATTTTGCCTTTGTTCTTGTAAATTGAGGAACATCCCAGCTCTAGGCGCCTGGGTGCCGGAGGTCTACCTGGGTGGGCACCAGATTGGGCTCCATGACATTACTGGGGAAGGTTGTTTCCGCTTGTGCCCCCTCCTTGGCCCAGCTCAGTGCCAATCCCAGAGTTGCTGAGAGCAGGCTTTCATCCCATTGCTAGAGCAGGCAACTGAGACTCCAGGTGCCTTTCAGCCCCTGGAGAGGCATAGAGGCTCCTCCAGAGAGATGGGTGCATGGACCTAGGCAGGGCAGTCTCCAGTGTCCTGGGGGTGGCTCCACTCAGGGTGGATCTCCACCATAGCCCTGTCTTCCAACCCTAGTTCAAGGTCATACGGGTCAAGGCAGGCATGCGTCTAACACAAAGCCCTGGGTTAGATCCCCACACTGCATATACCAGGTGTGATGGTGCATGCCTCTAATCCCAGCACTCAGGAGGTAGAAGCAGGAGCCTCTACCGCATAGTGAAGTGATTTTTAACCTTCCTAATGCTATGACCCTTTAACACAGTTCTTCATGTTGTGGTGACCACCAACCATGAAACTATTTCGCTGCTACTTCATAACTGTAATTTTGCTACTGCAATGAATCATATTGTAAATATCTGTGTTTTTTAATGATCTTAGGCGCGCCCCCCAAGTTGAGAACTGCTGAGATAGTAAGTTCAAGGCCAACATGGAATACATGAGACCCTGTCCGAAAGACAAAACAAAACCAAAGATGGCCCATGAATGCCTCCTGTCCCCTCTACTCTAGGGTATCCTTGGGCCCTCTGACATATGGTTTAGGGGTTTATTTTCTCCAGTGTCTCAGGCTTCACTGCTCTGAGACTCAAGGCCCCTTCAATGCCAGTGGGTGTACGCAAGACACAGGCTCTTCCCCTCCTCAGTGACCACAAAATGACAGGACAGTGTCTCCTGCAAGCTGTGGCTTAGGAGAATAAGCCAGGAACCAGGCTGAGCAAGGGTTTCAGTTGGGCCTCTCAGTTCTATTCCCATCGCTGATACCCTGGGGTGACCTCAGAGGTTGCGTCACCCCTGACCTGTGCTTGGTGTCTTCTGGGAGTCATTGTGGAACCATGGGAGCTTATTCCAGTCTTCCATCTCCCACTGCATGGTGAATGCCCCCCAACTGGTCTGGAGGAAGGGGAGCAAAGAGGCCACCGTGAAGGATACCTGTGTCCTGACCCAGTCCACCAGTGGTGCATCTGCGATGTTTTTGCCCAGTGTAGTGAGCACAAGAACTCACTGTTGGGGAGCTCTGGACCAAACCCCAAGTGTGGGGTGGTTTGACATATGGGGCCTGAGAGTCTTCCTGTAGGAGATCGTAAGCAAACAGTAGAATGTCTGCTGTGTGAGCCCGCGAGTCTGTGTGTGAGCCCGAGAGTCTGTGTGTGAGCCTGTGAATCTCTGTATGAGCCCATGAGTCTGTATGTGAATCTGTGTGTGAGCCTGTGAGTCTCTGTGTGAGCCCATGCGTCTCTTTGTGAGCCCGTGAGTCTGTGTGCAAGCCTATGTGTGACCTTGTGAATCTGTGTGTGAGCCTGTGAGTCTGTATGCGAGCCTGTATGTGACCCTGTGAATCTGTGTGTGAGCCCATGAGTCTGTGTGTGAGCCTGTGAATCTGTGTGTGAGCCCATGAGTCTGTGTGTGAGCCCGTGTGTGACCCTGTGAATCTGTGTGTGAGCTGTGAGTCTCTGTGTGAACCCTAGAGTCTGTGTGTGAGCCCGAGAGTCTGTGTGTGACCCCGTGAATCTGTGTGTGAACCTCTGAGTCTGTGTATGAGCCCGTGAGTCTGTGTGTAATCCCGTGAGTCTCCATGTGAGCCTGTGAGACAGGAAGACCTAAAGCATCCATCTGAGCCCGCAAAGGACCCCATGTTGGTTTCTATTGGGAGTGTATGGTTGGGAGGGGCTGAGACACTTGTCTTGGCAAGCGGGTATCCATTACCTGAGAACAGACAGACAACATGAAGGACAAGAATAGGAAAAGCACCAAGTGACACCAAAGCTTAGGAATTGTTGCAGGGTCGGGGGTAAACACAGGGTGAAGCTAGCATACTAGATTCCAGGAGACTTACACAGCCTCTGCCTCGGTGAGGGGTTGGCCCTGTCCTCGTCCTGCCCACTCTGCCCAGGCACCAAAACTGAGCCTGTTTGGCCATTAGGAAACCAGGGTAGCCTTATCCAGAAGCACCTCATGATTTCCCTGCGACTCATGTCCACAGGTTCCCTCAGAGATATGGAGGCCGGAGAAGAAACCCAGGCCATGGACATCAGCCCCATGGAGCAGGAGGCCGCATCCCCTGAGGCCCCAGCCATAGAGGATCCCCCGAGCCCACCCAGAGAAGGTGAGTGTGCAGATCAACACCCTGCCTAGAGTTCATGGGGAGACAGAGGGCCTCAGCAGGCAGCTAATGCCTAGTGTCCTCCAGCTGCTGCCCTAGGACCTGGTGAGAGCCAGGGGAGAGGGGTATCAGCTGTGTGTGATTTGGAGGTCCAGCCTCAGGCTAAGGTGACTGAGGCCTGGGTGGGGAATATCCAGTCCAAGGCTAGACCTCAGGAAAGTCACAGCCTCTCCCAGCGTATTTACCACTGTGAAATGGTGTCCACGGGTGTGCAGGGCTGGGACTTGGGCTCCACACACAGCATCAAGCTGCACCCAGGAAGAACTGCGAGGCTCTCCAGAGGCAAAGAACACACTGTATCTGCTGAACTGAAGGACCAAGGCCCAGAGAGGCTAAGAAGCTTGTCTGGGCTCACAGCCCACACTCTGGCCAGGATCCGACCTAGGTCTGGGTTTAGACTCATCCCACTGTCACGCTGCCCCCTTTTCTTACCCACGTGACCTCCTTGAACTCAACTGGGCCTCCTGGTTGCAGTTGTCCAGGTCAGTGCATTCCTGAAGCTGGAGTCGGGCCGTGGAAGGAAACCCCGCAGACACCCACACTACCCAAACCCTAGGAGGCCAGTTCAGGCCAGGTGCGGGATATAGGGCAGTGAGACTTCAGATGCCCCCTGAATCCAGGGAAGAGGGTCTTCACAGAGGCAGAGTCCTTGAGAGATCAGCATTTTGCTTGTGTTTTGGAGGCCACTGAGTTCTGGAGAGATGGTAGAGAGGAACCTGAGTGAGGGATGATGCCTGCATCCTGACTCAGTGTGCTGGGCTCTACCTGGCTGTGACTCTAAAGCCCTGACATGTCTGTCTGCAGCTCTGAGCTTCAGGATCACTTCACTCCATACCCATGAGCCTTTGTTCTACCTGCTGCCCCAAGCTGCAGGGGCACACCATTCCATATCTGCTATTTTTTGCAGAGTCTGAATCAGCCCCTTTTAGCCTCTTCCCACCACCACCCCAGTGCCAGAGATTAAACCCAGAGCTTCAAGCATGCTAAGCAAGCACTGTATCATCGAGCCATACCCCATCTTGCCCACCAGCCTCTGATTGGACAATGTAGCCATTGGGCTACTTGGGAGGATTGTTAACTGGTGACATGACCAGAAGCGAAGGAGAGACCGGTGGTAACCTGAAGCAGAGATCCCCAAGGAACCACCTGTGCCATATGCAAAGAGGGCTGGTACTCCGGCCGTGGTCCCAGCAAGTGTATGGGGGGACACGGGGGACAGAGCAGATGGCACAGGATGGACAACGGGGGTGGGAGGACAACAAAGAGGACAAAAGACCTGGGGAAACGGCTCAGTCAATTACGTGCTTGCCCACAGGCTTGAGGACTGAGCCTCAGCATCTCTAAAATGTAGGTGTGGTGATGCAAGCTTCTAATGTCAACACTGCGAAGGTGAACGCGGGTGTGTCCCTGGGGTTCACTAGCCAGGCAGCCACATTGGTTGAGTCCTAGGCCAATGGCAGACAATGTCTCAAAAAACAAGGGAGAGAGCTAAAGACCTCCAAGGATGTTCTTTGACCACCACCCATACACGCGCACACACATGTGCAAACACACACACACATGCACGCACACACACACGTGGTGATGAGGGATGGACGGTAGAGCAGAACAAGGAGGACGAGGAAGAGGAAGGAGGAGGACTCTGATGACAGGACCACAGGGATGACAGACAGGTAATGACAGAGGGGACAGAGGGAACAATCAGAGAGAACTCCAGGAGTCTGGATGGAGAACAAATTCCAGACAGATCTTCATCCCTGGGGGCTCCTCACTGTGCACCCTACCAGTGTATCGGAGTCCCTGACTGAATGGCTGCAGGCCAAGGACTCTCCTACATCCCTCCTTTGTTCCAGGCCCAGCACCAGCCTGAGGCTCTGGCCCATCCTTGGCAGCAGCCCTGGGGGTCAAGCCCTGACTCCATCACTCTCGGCTCTCCAAGGACACCTGCCCCAGGAATGAGGTGGCAGGTGCCAGGCCAGTCTCCAGTCAGGAGCTTATTCATGGTTACTGTTTTCTTTGCTTTTGCCGGCATACAGTACTGAGGGGTGAAGCTATCCATGGCCGTAGACCACCTCTGAGCCTCCGTTTTTACGGGGTGACCTCCAGAAGAGCAGGTGCCATGCTCGTAAGGCTGCTGCCTTATCTCCTCCACCATCAGTGCTACCATCAGGAGCTGCACTAAGGCAGCTGTGGCCGAGCTACCAAAGGGCAAGTGGTTGGCGGCTACTGGACTTTGACCCACGGCTTCCCGGGGAGCTGGTCTTTATCTGATTGGGGAGCTGGGGCTGCTGAGAGGGTAGGCGGGTGGGGCCGGGAAGGATCTGGGACAAACAGCCAGGCCTGCACCTGGCACCGGCGGCCGTGATAACGAAGTGATGGGCGCGATAACGGCGCAAGAGCATATCTGACGTTCAGGCGGGTCCAGTGCGGCTCCTCGCAGTGGCTGGAGCTCAGATGCCAGCCACTTTGATTTATAGCCAAAAATAATAGGACTTTTATACCACGGGATTGATTTATTTGATGTTAATCACAGCCCTTATCGTGGTATTAATAATCTGCTGTTCCCATGACGTCACCCAGGGGGCTTTACAGGAGCGCATCGATCGGGGGCCACACTGGTTATCTGGCCCGCCAGGAAGGCAAACATGCCCTTTGGGCTGGAATCGGGTGCGGGGCTGGTGGAGGGGCCCAGCTGTTGCAGAGACCAGTGAGCCAGAGGCCCACAAACCTAGGCGCCCTGGGTGGGCACTGGGCTCTGACAGACAGCAGCGAAGGGATAATTATTCCTGCTGTAATCAGCAGGGACTGGGGGCTTTACAAGGCCAAGAGGAAACCTGCTGTGTTAGATAAGACAGGAGGACAGGTAACTGTGTGCCCCCTGGCCTCAGTTTCCCTCCTGGTCCTAGGCTATCCCAGCAAGATCGTGACAGTGTTTTTCTCTCTACAGATGTGAGTCCACCCACAGTGCCAGCACCCCCTGAGTCCCCAGAAGGTCCTGAAGATATGGGGGTGCAGGAGTTGGAGATGAGGCCCCAGGATAAAGAGAAAGAGGAAAAGGAAGAAGAGGCATCCATGGCCAGTCCCTGGAGTGGGCCAGGTAACCACGCTGACTAGCCCAGTACAACATTGCTATGACCCCAGGGCAGCCTTGTTACAGCCTTCTGGACCAAGTGGGAACTAGGCTTTCTTGGATTCTTGGAGACCAGTGGTATCTAGGTCTGTGCCGTTGGCCCAAGCAGTGTGGTCTGAATTGTCTCCAGAGTACCCACACCCAGAGCTCGTGATGTAGACAGAAGCATTTGGAAGGTTTGGCAATGAGGACTGAGGAACAGGTCTCTGGAGGGGTATCTAGAGGTTGTGGCTGGAGCTGCCAGTCTGGGATCTTCCCAGCAGCAGATGGTTGGGATGCTAAGCTGGCTAGTGCCCAGGTGGGCTCAGGCTTGTGAGAGAAGAATACCTGCTCTTCCTGGGGGCTGCAGCCCATCTGAGGTTCCTAGTTACCATCTGCCCCATAGGCAGTCAGGCCTGTGCCTTTGCACATCTTCGGGCAGTGAGTGTGACTGATCACATACTAAGCTAGAATTGGCAGCTGCATCTCAGGTCTCACAGGTCCCAGAATGTGGCAATCATGGTACCCTTGCTTCTGGTAAACAGATACCATGGCCCAGGAGCACAGTGGGGGGCATCATGATTACCAGGGCTCTTACTGAGTGAGGGCTGAGAGCCTCACTGTGCAGGGTAAGTGGTGTGTGTATCAATGAGGGAGGAGTCTGGGGACTGAGCATGTGGGTGGGCAACACGTGTGTGCACAGTTACTGAGTCTCAGCTGTGTGTAAGCATCTCGGTATGATCACAATCAGATTCCTATCCATGGATAGAAGGCATGGCAAGGGATTGCTGAGGGATCCGAGACGGCTTTGCCAGGGCAGAGACCCTGTTCCTCCCCCTGGGGAACTTGGGATCCAAATTGGAAAGCGACAGACTTTTAACTGGACTCTTAACAGAGCGGTGACTCGGGGGGGGGGGGCTCTTAAGGCATTAGAAGAGTGCAGGAGTCAATTGGTGATGTCCACCACAGTGCGAGGGAAGAGGAGTGCCAGGTGTGTGGGGGTACCCGACGGAATAACAGCCTGAGGCCAGATAGAGAGGGGGTGAGCCCAGAAGGCCACAGCCAGAATGGGGAACCCGCACCCTGTGTGGAAATTGAATCCATTCACAGAATATCCCATGACTAACTGTCCTGGCGCACCCTCCTCAGACATCCCTTAGTACATTGATGCTTAGCACACTTCTCAGGGCTCTAGATGACCTGGCAGAAATGGATGGCAAAGATGACCATTCCTCCTGGGGTGCTTGGTGGGAGTTGGGTACTGACCCAGGGTCCTATCTCAGTTGAGGCCAGTGTCCCCAGATCACAGTTCCATGATGGGAGTAATTGTACTTGATCACATGGGTGCCAGGGCTTTTTCCACTCACATGCCTGAAGCCATTGAACTGAGCAAAGCCTTGTATTCAGGCTGCCCAGATTCTAGCCAGCCCTAGGCTGACTTAGTTTCTCCTGCTAGAAGGGAGTCCGTAAGTACTGACTCAGCATCAGAAGCGTGTCCCTGTGTGTCCCTGTTCCATATCCACAAGCATAATGTAGACAATGCCTGCTGGGGGTGGCAGGGATCATGTGTGTCTATGGACTTCAGTGACCACTAAGTAGGTAGAAGGCATAGAAGGTCCTTACTCAGCCCCGTGGGGCCAGCACAGTGTCATACCGCCTCAGTGCATGGTCAGAGAGGACAGTGCACATCACTGACTGGGAACTGTGTCCTGCTACCGAGGCCCAGATGCCAGGTCATCCACATCAGTGTTGAGCATTACCCACCATTCTCATCCACACAAGTGTTATTACTTCATATTTTAGATGGAGAAGCAAGGCCTTTGTAGTTTGCAGCCTGCCCTGCCCCCTGTGAAGGCTGTGCTCCATGGACTGTGGTTTGGGGTCAGGGAGCACCCCAGCTTCCCGAGTTATTTGCATCCTCAGGGGCCAGGCGGTACCCTATCGGCTCCCACAGATAGGAATTTCTGTGCAGTGGGCAGCGATGGGGTTGATAAGTGGCCGCTGGCCAACCGCCGTGGTAGCCATTGCCTATCAGCTCCCACACAGGCCATCCTTATCATCCACTGGGGAAGCTGCTGGAGAGGCCCAGGGGCTCTTATCTCCAGGGCCGCCCAAGCCTGTGATGGGTTGTGGGGTTAAGGCTTGAAGGCAGTGCCCAGTCTGGTGACAGATCAAGTGGCCACTTTTGCCTTGTTGGTTGCCTTTGACTCTTTCTGACCTCTGACCTGTAGTCACCCCAAACCCCGAACCCACCCAGCCTGTTCCAGGGAACCTGCCTGAGAGGCATCTTCCCCTATTCCTCTTTGGAGAGAAGATATAGAGCTGGCTTGGACTCCACATCTTCCTCTGGCTCTGTCTGGCTCAGAGAAGTGCCTGGACCCGAACCCATTCCCATCTGCTCTGCCTGAAGTAAGGTGGTCACTGGACCCACGACAGAGCTGACAGTCCAGGGCTGGGATCTCCAGAGGGATCTGCCCATACTGGGTACCATCTGATGTTGCAGCCCAGACATGTAAATATCAGGGGCCACCTATCAGATTCCTCTCTAGATGAGACAGGATTTAAACAGGCCCCAGAAAGTGGCTGTCCCGGAGCCTGGTCTTATTGCTTCTCCATAACTGGTGTACATACATGAGACAGCTCATCTCCTATGGCCCAGGCCTAGAGCAGATGAAGGGAAGTCCTCCGGGAGGAGCTGAAAATGGCTTAGCGATCAAAGTGTTTGCCACATAAGCATGGGGACTGGTGTTTCACATAAATACAAGTGGATATAGCCCACTCGTTGTTCCGGTCAGACAGAGGATCCCCAGGGCAAGCTAACAGTATTGGCCATTAGTGACCTCTATCTGCTTGAGAGACCCTGCCTCAGTGAATATGGTGGGAAAGTGATCAAGGATGACTCCCAGCATCAACCTTGGATCTGCACACACACACACACACACACACACACACACAGAGAGAGAGAGAGAGAGAGAGAGAGAGAGAGAGAGAGACATACACACACACAGGAGAAATAGAAAAAAAAAAGACCCCCAAGAAACCCCCATGTGGCCTCCTGGTTTCCATGCTGCCAATGACACCCGGGAACAGTCACTTGACTGCTGCAGACCCAAGTATAATTTTATTTCCTCGAGAGCTTTATAAGCACTGGAGTGCAGCCCCAGCATTGTGCAAATCATTATCCCTATCATGATTTCCTATCCTCTCCTGGTTCAGTCACTGTGCCTAGCTCCCTCCTGCCCTGCAGCGCCCCACAGTCTGGGTAGTGCACAGCGATGCTTTGGTCCATTGTCAGGAGTTCTGTGTCTTGCCCTGGCCACTCAGTTCTTCACGAGCCCAGCTCTGCTGAGTGTCTCTGGGTGGGCTGCCAACCTCCGGACCTCAGTTTCCTATTCTGTACAATGGCGTTGGGGAGAGTCATTGTGCCCCCCCAGCTTGTCACCTACTAGGCAGTGTGGTTTCCCACCCATGGGGTGCAGGCAGGTCAGAAACCCCTCCAGCAGCTGGTTTTGCATTACCTGTGCACCTGAGCAACACAATGGGCAATGATGTCGTGTTGCAGATCTGATGGCCACACACTGCCCAGAGTCCGGCTTTGCACTGACCCCACAGTGTGGTCTCAGCACCCTCTTCTGGGCAGTGGGGATGGTGTAGTCGTGTGTAGAGTATAAAACCCAAGGAAAGTGCCTTCAGAGCACATGAGACAGAAGTGTAAGTGCACACAACAGGGAAGCGCTGCTCTCAGTGCTCAGAACAAACCAGATGATGCTGTGTAGAATGAGAGCGACCTAGATGGTCCTTCTAAAGCACGCTATGTCTTGCTGTCTGAGGGGTTTGTAGATGTCGGAGAGGGGAGCTTACAAGAAAAGAATGGCCATGCAAAGGCCCGGAGAGCTTGGGGCTTTGGCAGTCCATGAGCCAAGGGAGAGTGGAGTCAGAGGGGCTGCAGCCAGGGCCCTGTGGATTTGGGCCTGAGCCCAGCAGGTGAGGGGAAAACAGGGAGGATTGGAGCAGGAGGGCTTGCATACCCCTGAGGCATAGCAGGGACACAGCCTGGGTCTCATGGGGCCACAGGTCACACTGTGGACCCAGAGCTCTGGGAAGTTGTGTACAGGGCTCAGGATACCCTTGCTGAGACCCAACCCTGGCTTCCTGTGGTCCTCAGCTGAGTTCTAACGGGGAAGAAGGACAAAAAGTGAGAGTCATCTTCAAGACGACCTTGATTGCAGGAGTGATGGCTGTTTCAAATCCAGCTATGCAGATGGCTTGAAAGTAGATCTCTGACCTTGCATAGCTGCCTTACTGTGAAATGTGGGGATCTGTCCCCAGTGCCTGGCGCCCCTCAGTGCCACACTCTTCCTGTCACCTTCCCTTCAGTTCAGGAGGACTTGGCTTTCAGATATGCCCGCCCTGTCAGGATGCACGTCCCATCCAGCACTGCCAGCCCCCACCCCCCATGGCCCATCTGGAATAGTCTTAAGCAAGTGGCAGAAGAGCAGAAATAAACAGACTCGGAGACTGCTGTCAGTCAGGTAGCATGGTGTGAGGTCTTCTTCCTCAGGAATCCTCCAGGGCTGGCCTCAGCAAAGGAATCAATAGCCTATCTAGTTCCTTCCACAAGACTCCACAGAACTGGGGGGATCTGGGACACAGAGGGACCATGACCTTCCCAGGCCCCCCAAGGCTGCATGCCTGTCATCAATGTACCAGCTGTGTGGAGTCTGCCTGTGCCAGCAGAGTGTCTGCCTGGGAGGGCAGGTACCAGGATGGGAGGCAAACTGAGTCACTATGGGGGCCCCAAACCATTGCCTTGGGTGTGCTGTCCTGTAATGTGAGTGGAGAGGCCCAGAGAGTAACACCCGCTGTCAGTGTGAGTGCAGCCATAGCTAGCAGCGGGGGCAGGAGTCACCAGGACTTCAGCGGTGGCTCTTCTGCCCTGTGAGTGTCTTGGGCCTGGAACTTATTCTGGTCACTGAAGTTTAAGAGCA